TGCTGCGCAAGCGCAAGGACCCAAGTTCGATCCCCGGTACCAAAAAAAAAAAAAAAGAATGGTGACAATGGACATCCTTGTTTTGTTCCAGATTTTAGAGTGAATGCTTTCAGTTTTTGTCCATTTAGTATGATGTTGGCTGTTGGTTTGTCATAGATTGAGATAAAGACCATCTATACCAATTTTCTGTAGGGTTTTTATCCTGCATAGGTGTTGGACTTTGTCAGCTCTGTTTTTCTGCATCTATTGAGAGGATCACATGGTTTTTGTCCTTGGCTCTGTTAATATAGTGTATTACATTTATTGATTTGCATATGTTGAACCAGCCCTGCATATCTGGGATGAATCCTACTTGGTGATGGTGTATAATCCTCTTCATGATTTGCTGCCTGCTGTTTGCCAGTATCTTATTGAGAATTTTTATGTCTGTGTTCATTAGGGAGATTGGCCTGTAGTTCTCTTTTTTTGGTTGGATCTTTCTCTGCTCTTGGTATCAGGGTAATGCTTGCTTCTGGGAATGAATTTGGGAGCATTTCTTTCCTTTCAATTTTGTTAAATAGTTTGGAAGTAGCAGCATTAGGTCTTCTCTAAATTTCTTGTAGAATTCAACAGTGAATCCATCATGGCCTGGGCTTTTCTTTGTAGGTAGGTTTTTAGTTACATCTTCAATTTCATTGGCTGATACTGGTTTCTTTAGAATTCTTATATCTTCTTGATTCAGTTTTGGTATCTAGGAATCTGTCCATTTCTTCTGTGTTTTCCATCTTACTAGAATACAGGTTCTCAAAGTAGGTATGATGATTTTCTGAGTTTCTGCAGGATCTGTTGTGAGTTTTACCCTTTTCATTCCTAATTGCATGGATTTGAGTCTTTTCTCTTTTTTTTGATAAGATTGGCTAAGGGTTAGTCAATTTTATATAATCTTTCAAAGAATCTACTTTTTGTATTGATTCTTTGTATTTTTTTTATTCTCCATTGCAGTAATTTCTTCTCTGATCTTTATAATTTCCTTCCTCATACAAGTTTTGGGCTTCATTTACTCTTCTTTTTCTAGAAGCTTGAGGTTCAACATTAGCTTGTTTATTTGAGCCCACTCTGTTTCCCTCATATGGGTATTCACCACTGTAAATTTCCCTTGTAGGACTGCTTTCATTGCATCCCATAAGTTCTGCTATGTTGTATTGGCATTATCATTTAATTGTAGAAACTGTCTGATTTCTTTTTTTACTTCATCTGTGACCCATTCAGGAGGGTGTTATTTAATTTCCATGTGTTTGTGAAGTTCTTGTGGTTTCTTTTGCCCTTGATTTCCAGTTTGATTGCACTATGGTCTGATAATATGCGTGGGATAATTTCAATTCCTTTGCATTTACTTAAGCACATTCTGTGAGCTAGTGTGTGGTCTATTCTGGAGAACATCCCATGTGCATCTGAGAAGAATGTGTATCGAATTTGTGGGGTGGAACACTTTGTAGACATCTACTAAGTCTGTTTGTTCAAAAGTTTGGTTCAGTTCTGATATTTCTTTGTTAATTTTTGTCTAGTTGATCTGTCCATTTGTGACAGTGGGATATTGAGGTCCCCATTACAATTGTATTAGTGTTTATTTGATTTTTCATGTCCATTAATATTTGTTTTTTATAGTTGGGTGGGCTGCTATTTGGTGCACATATATTTATGATTGTTATCTCTTCTTCTTGGATTATTTCCTTTACAAGGATGTAGTGACCTTATTTGTCTCTCTTAATCAGTCTCGGCTTGAAATTCACTTTGTCTGCCATAAAATTTTTGTGGGTTCCTGTCACATGGAGTATTGTTTTCTATCCTTTGACTTTCAGTTATGAATTTCTTTTTAAATGAAATCTGTTTCTTGTATGCAGGACATTGTTGGATCTTGCTTCTCTTTTTTTGGCAGTACCAGGGATTGAACTCAGGACCTTGCATTTGCAAGGCAGGCATGATGCCACTGAGCTAAATCCCCAGCCATGGATCTTGCTTCTTGATCCATCCTACCTGTCTGTTTCTCTTGATTGATGAATTGAGACTATTAACATTGATGGTTATAACTTATATGTATCCCTGTCATGTTATTTTCATGTTGTTGGCTCCCTTCCTTCCTCTTCTGTTTAGTTTCCTGCCTTGCCTGGTGGATTCATTCTTTTGAGGTTCATGAGTTGCAATTCTTGTTATCTTTTCCTAGAATATCCTTCAGAACACTTTGGAGTGCTGATTTGGTGGTCATGAATTTCTTCAGGTGTTCTTTATCATGGAAGTATCTTATTTCTCCATCAGTGTTGAAAGATAGTTTTGCAGGGTACATCAATCTGGGTTGGAGGTTGTTTTCCTTTAGGACTTGAAATCCTTCACTCAAGCTCTCCTTGACTTGGTGGTTTGTGTTGAAAAGTCTGCTGTGATTTTGATGGACCTTTCTTTATGGGTGATTTGTTTCTTTTCTCTAACAGCTTTTAATATTTTGTTCTTGTATTGAATTTCTGGAATTTTGACTATTATATGCCTTAGGGAAGTTTTTTTTTATTATGGCTAATTGGAGTTCTGTATGCCTCACTTATCTGTACATCAAATTCTTTTTCCTTGTTTGGGAAGTTTTCTGCCATTACTTCTGTGAACAGTTTTTTTATGTCATTTGCACTCTCTCCTGCTTTTTCATTGACTTCAGTCAATCGTATGTTATTCTTCTTTGCATCATCTAGCAGCTGCTGGATTGATTTCTCATAGCCCCTTGCTAATTTTAAGAAATCTTTCTTTTCATGATTGCTAACTGCAATCCTGTTTTCCCCTTATCTCATAATCTGTCCTCACATAGGCTCATTCTGCTCCATATATTTTCAATGGGGTTTTTAATCTCCTAGATATCTGTTTGAATCTGTTTCATGGATTCCATTTCTTTCCTTTGTACAGCCTGAACATTGAACTGCCTTGAAATCTTCTCAGCCATATTACCTATGAAAAGGGTAATGGAAGTTGCCAGAGATCCCTGAAGTTGTCCTGGCCTCCTACAAGCCAGTACAACATCCATGAGATAGGAAAGTGGGATTTAAAAGAAACACAGAGACAGAGACTTAAGAGAAACTGAGTCTTGGGCTGATCTAAGCTGCTCTCAGCAGCAAAGACAAAGGACTCCCAGGACATCTAGTGTGTATTCATTACAAGTGTGGGAAGGGGGGAAACTGGACAGTCCTTGGAACGTCTGTAGATAACAAGTATGAAGCAGGCAGGACTGTAGAATGAGGACACAAGCATATCTTTGCTGAAGAGAACAAATGGTTAATTCAGAAGGGAAGAATTTAATTGGAGTCAGTTGACCTTGACTGGGAGTGAACTCAGCCAAGCTCTGCTATTTCCCATGTAACACAGCCAAAATATGGAGGGACAAGAAGTTTTGCCACTATAACCTGCTAATACTGGGCAGAGGTTACTGCTACATCAGATTAATTCGTCTCTCATCCTTAATCTCAGTTTCCTGCAAAGTTTTAAGACATATGCAAAACGTAGCCACATTTTCTGAAGTTCTTACTGTTCAAATTACTTCTTTGGGTTAAGGTATTGTCCCCAGAAGGCCACTGTGAAATGCATGTTACCAGGACTTGAGGCAGCTGCAGCTCCTCAGTCCCTCAACTAAGATGCCTGCTGGTCCCGAGGCCCAACCACAACTACTGCTTGTTTCATTTTTTTGAGACATGGTGTTGCTATATAGTTCACGCTGGCCTTGAATTTATAATGATCCTCCTCCCTCAGCCTCCCAAGTGCTAGGATTACAGGCTTGTGCCACTGCACCCAGCTATCCTTGAACTTTTGATACTCCTGCCTCTGCCTCTCAAGTAGCTGTAATTATGGGCATGTACCACCATTTCCAGATAAATTCCTCACCTTCTAATGAGAAAATGAGAAAGATAATGAGGTAGCTGCTCCTTTATTCCATTTCATTTGTCATCTTCTCTCTAAAGACATAATATAATCTATATGTTGTCGTTTTTCCTGAGAGGCTATACCACTATAGTAATTTGCAAATGATTGCTTAAAACACTTGATA